TGTATCAACATTGTATGTGAAGCTATAAGATTCTACTATGTATCATTGCTGTAACATTCTCCAAGTTTCAGAAAAGCAGGCCCAAACCAGTTTCTCAGGAACAAAGGACAGACCAACACCCAGAGATGTTAAAAGGCTATCACCTTCTTAAGTAGTCATTCTCCATTAACGGGGAAGGTGTAAACAAGAAATTTACATTCCATCACAAGGATGGTTCAAACCTCATGTCCACAACAGACTCAGTGTCATCATGACTCAGCAAGGATATTTCTAGCACAAAAAAACTGAATTATAAAGAGGGGAGGAAAACACTTGACTTCACTCCTCCTCCCATGTCTCTGCTCATGACATCAATGAATACCCGAAGGACCCTGAACTAAGGGGCAGGAGTCTCAGGCTGAAAGGAGGCCCAGCCTATACAATTTACTGTAGCGTATGGTGAGGAAAACCTTTGCTTTGAATTTGTTAAGTTAGCCATTAAATTGTGTTTTATCTTTTATTTCTTTTTGTAACTGATCCTGACTTTTATGCATCATTACTTGTAATCACTTAAAATCTATCTTTCTGTAGTTAATAAACATCTTTTATTGTTTTAGCATAACCAGTGTGTTTGGATTAAAATAGGTGGGAAACTCCATATGGGATAACAAGATTGGAGCATATCATTTTCCTTTGATGAAATGATGGACTTTCTAAGAGCATGCATTGTTCAGTAGTGTACTGGACATTTCTGGGGGGGAAGTCTGGGACTAGAGAGATTGCAGTTTAATTCATGAGTGGCTAGCTAGCAGCACTCAATACTGTGCAGCTGGGAGTGGTTTTATATGCTAGTGGCTATGTATGAACAGGCCAGGAGTGGATGTTCTTACAGCAAAGCAGTGTAAGAGGCACCCCAGGCAGGAGCACTGAGGGGACACAGCTGTTTAACAGTTCAGACTGTACCCTGGGGAATGTCACAGTGATATGTTCCCAGTTCTGATGGAAATGAAAAAGGTGGTCACCAAAGCAAAGGAGACATCCAGACTGTTGCAGCAGATAAGAGTAGGGGGTAGTAACTCAGCACCTTGACCAGCCCTTCAAAATTGGTGTTTCGAAGTTGTGGGTTGTGAGGTTGATGTTGGAGAAGTAGCTGGTCTCCTCTCCTGGAACTGTTCTCGATTATGCTGGGGTACATAATGTTTCTGGGAGGCAGGAAGCTGGGTGGGACGAGATCTCTGTGCCATCTGGGCCTTACTGAACTTTCTTTTTTATGCAGGGGTGTAAATTCCCAGAGAGCGCAAGGTGGCTCTTGAGTCTTTTAAGGCATGCAGAGATTTGATCACTTTTTTCTGCAAACAACTATGATCCATCAAAATGAAGATCCTCAACCAAATTTTGGACTTCCCTCAGAAAACCTGAGAGCTGAAGCCAGGAGGCCCTCCTCACGTCTAACACCTTGGAGACTGAATAAGCAGCTGTATCAGTGGCATTCAGAGAGGTCTGCAGAGATGTTCTTGCAAACAGTTGGCCCTCTGCAATGATCGCCTGGAATTGCTCCCTCTGGTCTGCTGAAAGATGCTCAATAAAGGCATTCAATTTTGAATAGTTAGCATGGCTGGTTTTCACCATGATGGCTTGATAATTGGCGATCCTAAATTTTAAGATAGCCAATGAATATGATTTATGGACAAATAAATCAAGACACTATAGGTCTCTATTGTATCGAGTAGATTTAGCATGGTGCCATCTGCCACGTTCATTCACAGCATCGACCACACAGGAGTTGGATTCGAAAATAATTCAGAGTCCTTAGAGGAAACATAATATTTGTTGCCTGCCCTCTTACAGGTAGGTGGTATTGTGGCTAGGGGTATGCAAAATTATTTTTGCAGGATCTAGGCCACATTAATGATGCAGACAGATGATTAAGTGTGCAGAATGTCAAGTGTGCTGCAACTCCTTAACTTCCTCCAGGGGAATTTGCAAGGAGACGCTATCCTTTTAATGAGATCCTGGAACCCTTTAAAATCGTTGGCCAAGGACAGTATAGGAGGCATGACAGCTTCATCCGGGGATGAGGAAGAGAAGCGGTTGACCTGTTCGGAGACCACTGTATGGGGGAAATCCCCTGGCTCGGGTCAGAAGCTGGTCAGAGTGAACTCTCTACCATGAAGAGATGTAGTTTAAGTTCCTGGTTCTTTCTGGCCCTTGATTTTAACTGTAGACAGAAATTACACTTTTGGGGAACGTGTGACAGCCCCAGGCACTGAACACACTGGAAGTATCCGTGACTGACGAGGACGAGGATAGACTCTCAATATGAAAGGCAAAGTTTAAACCCGGGAGAACCAGGCATACCCTCCCAGGGTTTACGTTCCCCTGAGAGGGAGGGGAAAAAAAAAAAAAAAAAAAAAAGAGGTGAAGGGACAATAGTCCTTATCCTAATAGTATAAGTAATATCTTTTTTTTCTTTTTTTTTTTTTTTAAATTTTGTTTGTTTTTTAATCTATAAAATTACTACGGCTAACTAACACAAAGGAAACTAAGAACTAACTCTAACTAGTAAGAACAAGAGAAAAATACAGTTGAGGTAAGCTCAACTCAGATACTGCTGAGACTCCACCTCAGGTCGAGGCAGCTGAGAAAGACTTGAGGGCAGTTTGCCCACGCAGCTCTATATAGCCGCAGTGCAGGGCACGAGGCTGCAGGGGTTGCATGCATGAGCCAAATGGACATTGCTACCTAAAATCTCCAATCTGAAACATGTGGGGCACAAACGCACCTAGAGTTGAACACCTCTCGGGACACTACTTGAAGAAGTCCTTCTTAAGAGAGTTGCAACCTTTGGCAACTCCCTTTAGCAAGCCAAGTAGTCAAAGACAGCATGGAATGGAGAATTCCAGTCCCACCCCCCTTTTTTTTCTTCTGTGCCTCTATCACTCTTTTTAAAAGCTATTAAAAGCACTAAAGAGAACTTCATACTGCTGTCAAGCCTGCTCTGTGATAGTTTGTACCACTGCCACGCACAGTCTCCTCTCTCTTACGTTTGGCATTTTTCACAGACTGACAGCAAGTGCTGACTGTGGCAGAGTAGTGTGACGTTGTGCAGTCTATATGGTTTTATAAAAACATGATAGTAAGTGACTATAACGTAACTGGGATATGCTTCATGCAAAAGGTCTCTTGTAAGGTACCATTACAAAGCTTATAATCTACTGAGTATGATCATCCAATTTGTATAAATGTACCACTCTTGTATCTAAAACTAGAAATATAAAATATAATTCTGAGGGCCTATTGTAATTATGTAAAGTGTGGGCCATTAATGATGATTTGGAATCTTGATGACTCCCATTAACCAGGACCATTGTCTGCAGATGGCTGTGTTTACCTGTGAGTCTTCCTGTATCTGTGTGTGCTGGCAAGTGGGCAATGAAGTCTTGCAGTGACATGTGATCATGTCACCTGAACTGGAATCCATCTTTAACCTGGTGCTTTTCCAGTGAGGGGGGGTGGAAACCCAGAGGGACAAAGGGTTCCCGCCTTATGCAAAAGATATATAAAGGGGTGGAACAGAACAAAGGGGAGAGAGGAACCATCATGAAGAATCCCCTAGCTATCACCTGAGCTGGAACAAGAGCTGTACCAAGGGAAAGAATTGTGCCCAGGCCTGGAAGGTGTCCAGTCTGAGAAAAACTTACTGAAGCATCTCTGAGGGTGAGATTATCTGTATTTAGCTTGATTAGACATAGATTTGCGCATTTTATTTTATTTTGCTTGGTGACTTACTTTGTTCTGTCTGTTACTACTTGGAACCACTTAAATCCTATTTTCTGTATTTAATAAAATCACTTTTTATTTAGTAATTTACTCAGAGTATGTATTAATACCTGGGGGAGCAAACAACTGTGCATATCTCTCTATCAGTGTTATAGAGGGCGAACAATTTATGGGTTTGCCCTGCATAAGCTTTATGCAGGGTAAAACAGATTTATTTGGGTTTAAACCCCATTGGGAGTTGGGCATCTGAGTGCTAAAGACAAGCACACTTCTGTGAGCTGTTTTCAGGTAAACTTGCAGACCCTGGGACTGTGTTGCAGCAGACGGGAGTGTCTGGCTCAGCAAGACAGGGTGCTGGAGTCCTGAGCTGGCAGGGAAAACAGGAGCAGAGGTAGTCTTTTGCACATCAGGTGGCAGCTCCCAAGGGGGTTTCTGTGATCCAACCCGTCACAAGTAGATTCAGCAGTGCCATGCTTGAGCTGTTCAAAGCAGATCAATACCGGCATGGGCAATACTAGGAGGAAAGTGACTTCCCCCAACTTTGGTGCTTCTTCTAGATAGACTTGAATGGAGGAAGAACCTATCTTTCTATTGCTAATAACTTATCTTTAACTGCACTGAGTTAAACCTTCTGGGTGGCAACCCTCCCATTGAAAAGCAGGTTTAAACTAGTCTCATTTTTCACAAGAAAATACAAAGGTTTCTTCGGGGAAAAAGAAAACAAAAAATAGTAAATGAATGGTGTGTCACAGCCACATCAATCTTGACAGCTGCAGCATAGTTTCAGTGCAGCTAATACTGTCTCCAGTCTATACATTTCATAAACTGAAATATTGCTTTATGTATTTGTTAAAGTCTAAGTAGTAAAAACCCAAAGTAATAAAACTAAAGTACTCTGTTCCCTGCTGTCATTTTCTGGATTTTGACAATTTTAAGAGGTGTGTCAATATTTCATTCTATTGCAAGTAGTAATATTCTTTTTGAAATTTCTAGTGATAAGAAACTATATAAAATTATACATCAAGGACATCTGAGTTTATTATGTTTACTAGTCAGGAAAGAGTTTTAAGAATAGTATTTAAACTAAATAAAATGTCAGTGATTAATGTTTCTTCAAGTAATTCAATGGTGTACTTTTCCACCTGTGTTTTCTCCCATACTTGTATTCACATGCCAACATTTCAGTAATTCAAGTATATTTTGCCTAAGTAACACATTAATAAATTAATAATTTTACTTACCAATAGCTTTGGTATAATGCCTTGCTCCAAGAAGTAATTCTGGAGCTCGATACCAGAATGTTACAACTACTGGATCCAAGTCTGCTAAAGGCTTCAGAGGTGAATTAAATAATCTGGCAAAGCCCATATCAGCTGCAAAATTTAAAAAAAAATGCTTTAAAAAGTTAAGGAAACTTCACATTGATCAAATGAAATGATTGAGCTCATTTGTTAGATCTACCAAAATTGTGCTAAAAAGCAAACACACTGTAGTAAATATGAATCCTGATAGTCTAACTTTACCATTTCCTTATAGTTTATGTTGCAATTATTCAGCATCATCACCTATGAAGTATATCATTATAAATCATTACTAAAGCAAGCCATTTAGAATCAAGAATTTACCACTGTTCTGAAAAAAGCATGTCAACTCATGTAGCTCTCAGAACACTGGGTAAGTCCTTATTGGCCAGCCAGGGAGTCAGTTTTCTGCCTGGTGGAATATTCTATTATCACAGGGCTGTTTGTTCAGGAAACATTAAAGGGGGGAAAATGGGTGAAATAGTAATTCTGTAAAGGTTAGAATGATTTATAATACATACATGTATGACACAAGAACTACCTATGAAAAGCTGGTTGCAACTGAAGCAGGGTTTCCTTCACGCCCCAAACAAGAGGTGATTCCAATCATGAGGGTATCTTCTTCCCTGAAAGCCTCCTCTCAATTTAAATTGGTCACAAAGTATCACCAGTACCAAGATGAAACCATTTAAGCTATGCTTTTAAAATGTCTTCCATTTTGGGGAAATTTCCCTTTACTAATAAAACATTAAGAAAAATATTCTGTCTAAACTGCTTGTTGGGATTTGTAATCTACAGTTTCTCACAGAGCTATCTGAACTGACCAGAATTTAGATGGTACAGGACAAGATGGACAAAGGATTGAGAAGTGGGTATTCCCACTAAATCAGGTTTTCGAAGTCCCAAACACCGAAGAATTTGGTATGGTGGAATGGGAGCCTATATATACTGAGTAGGACTGGGGAGGAGTGTGAGGCCTATAGCAGTTTTGAGAGAGAAGGGGTTAAACCCATGCCACATGTAATAACTCAGCTACTGAGGAAAACTTGCAGAGTAAATACTCATATCTAATTTTGCTCCACAATCTAAAGTAACTATTTGCCTCTATGTGCCTCCCTACTTTAAATTATTTTATTGCATTTAAAAAGAGACATTTTATAATTTTCTATATTAAAAATCAAGATAACCCATGATATGAAGAATTCATAGATATGTATGAAAAAAACGTGGAAAAATACCCAGTAAAAAGTGGAGTCAAAATAGCATAAAAAGCCTATAAAGCTTATTTTATGTTAAATATACCAGTTATGTGTTTTTTTAAAAAGTATTAATACTAGAAGAGTGGAAGCCCTTGGTATGGGGAATACGTATGCATTCTTTTCCTACTGTTGCAAAAACATGTTAAAAATTGCAATTTTTTCAAACTGATAACACACCTAGAAATAAAGGCTTTTCTACTGTTGGGACTGGATGGCTCAGAGGACTGGTGGGCGGATGCAGAATCTTTCACCTGTCCATCAGCAATGTCTGACCAAATTTAGTAGAAATCTCAAGTTATTACCAAATGACTTGCGAAATAAGTTGGTGGTCTGTGAGCAAATACTAATGGATAATTGTCTACATCTCAAAAATCACCAACACAATTGACACAATGTGCCTGGAGACTGACCTACACGCTCACTCTTGGAAGTGCATGCTCCATGAAGATTAAGGTAATGGGAAGAAATGTTCACTTCTGCTGTCCATGCTGTTTTGCAGATAGAAGACCTTGGTCTTTATCGTCAATCTTACACCTCTAAAGGGTGCTAAAATTTTAAAGGGTGGGATTTTCTGACGTGCTCAGCGCTGATCTAATTCTACTCCTACTGAAGTCAACTCCCATTGACCTCAATGGGAGCAGAGTTAGGGCAGTGCCGAACACCTCAGGAAAATTCCACCCTTGATTAGCCAATTAGTGATTAACAGTTGGTGTTTCAGATAAACAAAAACACCAAAGAATACAGAGTGACACTGTGGAAGAATCATCTCATAAAAGAAAAAGTCAGAGGGAAGTGAAAAACAATCTGTTTAAAAAAAAATTCTGCCAAACAGGACTGCCTGACTATATTAGTATAACAAAAGAGGGTGTGCATTAGAAGGCTATTGGTGCATCAATGATGAACTAGTGCATGCCACGGTGTGGCTCATTACTGTTAGACTATGGTTAGATTATTTTTAGTTACTTTTTAAAATAGACTTTATAGAACGATTTGGAGATTCTGCAAATTATCCTTTCACTGAGAAAAGTGGTTCACACCGGAAGATAAAATAGTGGGAAAGTTTCAGTTTCTTCCCCCCACCCTACTTCCCCCTCACCATTTTGAATATATTTAGTGTTAGTTCTTACCAAATGTCTCTCTCTTAATCAACATTTTCTGCACTTTTTAAAGACTCCTTTTGCTTCCTGTGTCTCCCAGAAATCTGGCTACCCTTTCAAGGGCAGTTCGTAAATCAACAGTCACTCTCACTTTTATTATAAAATTTAATATTCGGAATAGTGAACAGTTCCCTATTTAGATTTTATAATACGGAGCAAGTTAGTGTTTTGGCACTTTGGTGGTAAAAATAGGTCATTTAAAATCTCACTTATTTTCCTTCACTCTTCCAAGCTGACCGTTATCTTTGTCCCATATTAATCCCCCTCCCAGCACGCACCCATATAATATAATGGCATAGGGATTTTTTCCCCCTTCTCATTGATGAGGCTGTAGCTGTGCACCATTGGGAATTGGTGCATAGGTATGATATCAAAAAGCCAGTCACTCAAAATAGCTTTTGATAAAGTTTCCAGACACATACTAATATTATTTTAAGTAACTATCTTAAGTGATGCAACTGCACCTTCAGAACATTCTAACTTAAATGCTACACTGGGACTTATCAAAGATATAACATACCAATTTTTACTCTTCCTCGCTCAGGACCTTCACCCATAACTAAAATATTAGCAGGTTTCTGTGGAAAAAAAATAAATATACAATACATATACCAAGATAAACCTAAATAACATTTGTCTCTGAAACAATACATTAGCTTTGTTTCACCAGTTTTAAACCAAATGCAGCATGATAACGTCATAGATGTTTACTTTGTGATAAAGCTGTGGAAGTATCCAAAACACAGGCTTTCCTTTGCTACCTCTGCCTCTAAGGTTTTCCCTCACAATCTCTTTTTTCCAGGGCTTTTTAAATTATGTTCCCCAGACTAACTGCCATTGTGGTGTCTTTCTTCTACCCGCAACAGCAAGCAAGCAAGCAAGCAAGAGCCTTCAAGACTTCCAGCAACATCACTCTATGAACTGGTCAGCTCACCAGGGTGCACATCTGGTACTTCACTGCCTGTTCCCCATCCCACTTAAAAAACAACAACAAAGAACCCGGGTGTAAGATGTCATCTCTGCAACATATGTTTGGCCAAGGGTCATTAGGCACATCTTCAGACATACATTTTACATTAACAAGAAAAATTTCAAGATACAGGTTGAATATCAGTCACTATATAAATATATATTCCACAGAAAATCTACATAACCCATCTAAATTTACTATCCCAGATTGATATGGTACACTAATTCAGCCAGCTTTAAGACTTAAAATAAAAGCATATCCTTAAAACTATTGCTAAATGCTTCTCCCACTGCTATAATGGCTACCAAATATTAAGAAGTAGGACTCTTCTCTTCCTTTTCTCTATACTAAGGAAATGAATTAAAACATTATACTACAAAAGTAGCGTAGTCGAGCGTAAACTCAGGTACACTGAGTTTACCCACTTCTAATTTGGGAAATAGAGAGTTAAGTTTAGGTTAGTTTACTCACTGTTGTTTTTTTTACACCACTGATAGCAGACTTATAGGGACATCTACACTTCACTCTCCTTCTGGTGGCATGTAGAGTACATACTCTGCACACAGCCCTTGCATGGGTATAAACAGCAGTGTAGGTGATGAGGAACTGCTTAGGTGAGTAAAGAGACACCTGAACAAAGTGGGTATGAACCCTACATGCTCAAGCAGTGCTATCCCATCTAGACTGCTATTTTTAACAAGGAAAGACTCCAGCAGCTCTACACAGCCAAGTCCCTTCCACAGCCTTTCACTGATGTGTGTAGCTACACACCACACTGTAGAGGCAGCCTGCTATTCACTATGGTGTGTAGTTACACATACCCTATATGCTGCCACCAGTGGCGTGAAGTTAGATTACTCCCTGGGGAATTCTGCACCACTGCGCACGCACAGAATTCATGTCCCCCATAGATATTTTTTTCTCCACAGAGCTGGAACTGCAGTTACATTTTTTGCCCACCAGGGGCTGCTGTGACAACAGAAAAGAGAACAGCCAGCTCACAGAGAGGATGCATCCCTCACAGAAGGGCCAGATGGAGGCGGCACGGGACAGACAGAGAGGGGCACACGGGGCTACTGGGGGTCACAGACCGGGGTTCAGAAGGGCTAGTGGGGGGGGGACAGACTGGGGTGCGGGCTCAAGTGCTCAAGGGGGGGGGGGGGGCAGGGCAATGGGGGGGGGGGGGAGGAGGGGCTGCAAGGACACGCTGGGACAGGGGCAGATGTGTCTTACTGAATGCAAAAGGCTAGGAGTCTGCCACGGTCTGCATAGGGGAGGGTCCCAAACTTAAACAATTCCCCTGCCCCCAAAAAACCTGTTCCATTCTTCTCCCACCCACAACCAACAACCCTCCAGGTTCACTCGCAGGCTCCTTCCCAATAATTGCTTCCCTCACCCTGAGCTCCTCCGTTACCTCTGACTCCCCCAAGTCTTGCAGTGCTCCTGAAGGGTGCTGGGAAATACATTTCCGTATTGTAGTTTAAATGAACTATTACTAGAGCTGTCAATTAATTCCCCCAGGAGTACTAGATGTAGCCACAGAATTCGGCTGCTGATCATTATGACCCTTCAATTCTTAATCGTGGTAGTTTTTCCCCGTCTCTGCCACCATTTTCTCAGGTCTTCATACGAACAATGTGTTTTATAAACTAGTCTCTGCCTTGCAATCAGATGGGCACAGATTCCTCAAATGCTAACATTTTTTGTGGGTGAATGAAAGCTGCATTAAAATAAAAAACACGTTACATGATTTGAGAAAAATCCCCAAAACGTAAAGACTTAATGAGGTCCCTTAATAGTGGGTGATTTTATATAAGCACTTATACTGATTACTTAGCCAAAAGGTGGTAAATATTACAGTTAGAGCTCTCGCTTTGAATTTCCTGATTTAAGCCACTGCAAAGAGGACAATTATTAGTTATTTTGCTACTTTTCCCCCCCACCTACACCAAAAAGGAAATCTTAGCTGTATAAGAATTAATATGGTTGTTCCCAATAGCTCTGAAGAAGGGACTACAGTTTATCACATAAACATGCTTTTAGGCACATTTTAAAATTTTCATTATTGAGAATATTGGAGCCATCACACTATTGTGTAAAAACATATTTATGATTTTTAAATGAATTTTTTAGCATCTCAAAATATTAGGATAATATAAAATAAGGCACATTAAAAATATAAGTACCTCAAGGCAATTTATTTGCATGATTAATAATTATTTCCTATAAAAGGCTCCAACAAGGCTTTATTAGTGTAACTGCATAGTAATCATGCATGCAAGGTATCAGCATACTGCAGGAATGAGTGATTACATCTTTTTTTCTGTGGACAAGTTAAAAAAGAAGAGGTTCTTTGAGGAGTGTAATAAAGCTGTAAATTTTCAATAAGGTGAGGTATGTTCCATTACCTTTTAACAGCAAGAGAAACTTTTACACTATAAATCACCTAGTGCTGTACTAGTATAATAATATGCAGAAAAACTTGTATAAGGAGAAGGTATGTGGGTTACATTACTGCAATGTGTAAGTACCTCAAAAAGGAGTATTAAACACAGCTGATTTTTTTCCCCCCCAAACTATAGTCCTGGAACTTTAAAATCATCCCATCATGCATTTCTGTGGATCATTGATCAGAGCTTGTGTGTTAAGACTGGGTAAGCGTAAAGCCATGTCTGCACCTGAAAGTTTTGCTGTCAGAAGTTCTGTCTGCACACTTCTATCACCATAGCTATTTCAGTGGAGTGCATTTATATTTGGTTGCCTTTGCCATGTAGCATGTCCTTACACCATCAGGTTGTATCAGCAGAAGATATGTGACACTGTAGGAAGGCATCCTGATGTCCTCTATGCCACCATCTGGCACATTACCTTGTAAGAAATGTTTGTACTGTATTGTGAGATATCATCACTCCTATCAGGGAACTGTACAAGTTTGGGATCAAATTCCCATAAATCTCTCGGTTCACTACTCTTTCATGCCATTTTCCATCTCATCACATGAATGCACAGATCACTGCAGTTCTCTTGTCCATTTAAAGGGCAGGACAAATCATTCTTGTGCAAAATCGTAACAGCCAGACATATAGCAGGGATATACTGAGAATGAGTGGATGATAGACAACAAATGAAGCTGACCAACTGCTGCAGGAAATCACGGAGAAACCGTACATGGTGGAGCAGCAGTTTTGGGTCTGTACAACAAGAACCAAGTGGTGAGATTACATCACAATGCAAATTTGGGAACATCAGTAGTGGCTTTAGAACTTTCGGATGCAGACGGGTACTTTTCTAGAGTTGTGTGCCAAATTCACCCCAGCCATGCAGTGCACAGACACCAAGATGAAAGCTGCTTTTACAATGGAGAAATGGGTGTCAATCACCACCTGTAAACTTGCAACCCCAGATTGTTACCAAACAGACTGCCCACCAATTGATATTGGAGAGTTTATGGTAGGGGCCCTCCATCATCCAGGTGTGCAAGACAGTTAAATTCGCAGGACTGAATACCAAGGATTGCAGGGAGTGGATACTGGTAGATCTCTGGTCTTCATCTTCCACATCTAAATTTGACCATATCTCCAGAATATTAAGGAGCATCCAATCACAGCTGAATAGTTAATGTTGAATTCAGTTTTGCATTAAAGCTAGGATTTAGCCACTTTGTTATGTATAAAGAATACAGCATCTATCTTTCCCAAAGTTTTAACACTTAGTGAGTATAATATGATTTTTTTTTCAGAATTTACGAGTACATTAATAAGTCTGAGTGAATGATTTTAGAATGGATCACTTAAGAAATTGAACACCAGATGTCAGACCATTTTCCCCTTCCCCCACCCACCTACAAATAATCCCAGGTAAAGTATTTGCACAAAAACTGGCAAAGAGGTGAAACTTCAGTAAATTTGGTACAATGGGCAGTTTTTAATATAATTTTAAGATTATGGTTAATTTTTCAATTTAATGATCAATTTTTCCATAGTTCTTCACAAGTGAAAGTTTCTCCTTCAGCAAAAGGTAAAGATAGGCCTTCAGAGAAACTCATAAGGAATTACCCCTCTTTCAAAATGACTACCATCTTCCGTTGTTCTCAATGGAACTCAGACCACGAACTGCCTTTAAGTAAAGATGGCCACTGCCTCCATTCAGTAACTGCTCATAATGCTCATCTCTGCCACCTGGTACACAAGGGGCATCCTCTCCAATGACCATTTTATTTCCCCCTGATTGGGAACAATGTGAAGTAGTTGCCATCTTTCAGCCTGCAGCTTCAGTCCCATTGAGAACAATGGCAGATGGACACTCAAAAAGGGCAATTCTTTGTGGATTTCTTTGAAGGATTTCTTTTCTCTGCTGACAGAGAAACTTTCAGTCATGAGGAACAGAAAAACACCATTAATCCTAAATATTTATTTTCATAAACTCCCCATTGCACCTGATCTACTAAACACAGAGGGCAAGGGGAAGAGAACCGGTTTGTAAATGCAGGCACATGGGAGTGTGAAGGAGTGGAGAGATGAACTGGTGTTTGTTTGCATATGTGTAATGGAATGTGGAGGAGGGAAAAGTTAGCAGACACAAGGGAAAATATGAATGTTTTAATTATTC